TGTCCTCCACCAATGACAAGAGCCAAGGTGTTACCTATTTATGGTAGTCTTGACTAAATAAAATATTATTCACAATCAAGATGAGTGCCATCTTGGTTGCGTCTCTTGGTCATTGAAGGTTGCCTGCTCCGAACGTATCAAGCAACGACTGCAACTCAAAACTTTGTTGCCCATTCCAGTATCTTGCATGAATTTCATCAGGAACAACCTTATACTGTCATGTGAATACATCAGATAGTGGGCCAAACTTTAGTTCAATGATAAGGTAGAACTCCTACTTTGATAATTGTGCCTTGCGCTTGCCAATGGCAAACCATAACTCATGGTCCATTGGCTTTGTTTCAGTGATTTAATGAACCATGATGTTCTACAAAAGACTAACACAAAAGTAGCCTTGTGGATAAATGTATAGCAGCATTCCAAAGCACGCATGCTTGAATGCATCATACTCCTCTTTCTCTTAGAGAGTCTTATTGATGTAATGCAATTGCAACCATTTACAATGAGTGTTAATGGAGACCTTGAATGCCTACTTCTCCCTCGACACAACAAACAAAGTTTCAAGGTTATCATACTTTCTGAACTCAATCTGTAAAACATAGCACATATGCACTTATGAGATAGAACAAAAAATAGTTAACCCATAATGTGTAGAATGCTAGATTGAAGAAAGAAATATATATTGTTACATGTTATGCATATCAAGTAAAACACAACATGCTCTGCAGACCAAGTAAAATATTGTTACATGCTATGCAGACCAAGTAAAATGTTGTAACACACCAACCCATGCCACGTCGTGACACGTTAATTATAATTTCTGATTCATTACATGAAATGCCATGACAATTATGCGGTCACCACATGCCATATATATAATGCTACCCTAAACTCAAAAACATTTAACCCACAACACACTAGATTGAAGAAATATATGTTGTTGCACGTTATGCAGATCAATTAAAATGTTGTTACACGCCAATGATAAGCCATGTCGTGACATGCCAATGTTGAGCCATGTACCCTGCCATGTCATGACATGCCAACCCTACCATGTCATGACATGCCAACTATAACTGCTATTTCGTTACATGAACTACCCTTAAATATCTAACATGTTAAGGATTATGGCGACTATGCTGTTTACACCCTAAACCCTAAACAAAAGCTAAAAACCCCAAAAATAGTTAACGCACTACACGTCAGATCAAACACCTTTTCATTCTTGTTACATGATATGCAAACTCCCTAAAAAATTTTAATACGACCTTAAACCATGTCAGTAAAAATGTTGTAGTTCTTTCCACAATTTATCCAAAAACCATAAAACTAGAAAGAAAATAGTTAAAACATATCACAGGCAAAGACACAAACATTTCATAAATCAACCCATCAAAAAAATACCAAACAGAAGACAATTTTGATTGATGATTGACTGTCTCTTCATGTAGAACCAACATTGTTGCTGTTATGTCATTAACTTTGCTTAGAATGAAGTCGAACACTCTAGTCCATTTGGGAATGATAAATGAATCAAACTTTCTTACTTCTTTCACATAGTTGTTTGTGAATGCTGAAAATATAATAAAATGCGATGAACTTTTGGACACCTCAACAGCTAATATGCATGTCGTGGAATTTCAAACGATTTTCTTATTTTTCCTCATTTTTTTCTATTTAAATTTATGATGTGTCACATATTCTAGTTATGACATGTCACATATTCCATCCACGGCGTGTCACATATATTCTCACCATGTCGTGTCACACATTTTCACCATGTCATCTCACAAATTCTCACCATGGCATGTCACAAACTCTAAACCCTATCGTGTCACAACTATGTCACGTATTCTCACCATGCCGTCTCACATATTTTTACGATGGCGTGTCACATATTCATACCGTGGTGTGTCATGTTTTCACATTAGCATGTCACTTATTCTAACTATGTTGTCTCACATATTCCTTCCATGACATGTCATAAACTCTAAACCCTACTATGTCACATATTCTCATCATGTCGTCTCACACATTCTCACCATGCCTTGTCACACATTCTTACCATGCCATCCCACAAATTCTCACCATGCCATGTCACGTATTCCCACCATTGCATGTCACAAGCTCTAAACCTTGCCATGTTACAACTGTGTCACACATTCTCACCATGCCGTCTCACACATTCCCACCATGTCATGCCACAACATTGTCGTGCCACAGCCGTGTCACATATTCTCACTATGTCGTGTCACACATTCTCCCAATGTCGTGTCACACATTCTCACCATACCATATCGTACATTCTCACCATGCGTTATCACACATTCCTAGCATGGTGTGTCACAAACTCTAAACCATGTCATGTCAGAGCCATGTCACATATGGCCTGATGTAGCATGACTAGTTCTTGCTTTGGTTTCACATCTTCCTTCTTTCGATTCACCACTGTATCAGGGATTTCTAGGTTCACATCATTCTTCAAGCTTTGGATTCATTACGACCGGTTCCTCGTTTGGTTTACTATCAATCTTCTCTTATTATCTAAAACTCATTTTCAACGGAATACAGTAATGCACATTTAACAACAAAACACGAACCACATTCTCATTCAATATGGGATTCAAATCACTAAACCCACAAAAGAATCGACATTCACTCATTGACTTACCACGTAATAATTGTAGACTTGTTCAAACACATTCTTATCCCTGACCTTGAATCAAAAGATAGTTCAATAGACCTACCGTGTAATATGTACGAAGTTTTTGTGTACGGCAATGTCTCGAATACTAGAAAAACCATCTCCTGTAACATGATTTTGTTTTACACAAGCTTTTCGAAAAAAAATAGATGTTTTGCACAAAATTAGAGAGAACAAATTCTGTGTAAATTTATTTTTTTGAATATGCGCGTGAATGAGAATGCACATCAATGAAGAGTTCTCATTAAAGGTATTTTTGTCTCAAAATCTCATCTCTTGGTTGGAAAGAGTTAAAATTATCTAAAGGATTGTTTTCAAAAATACTTCATATTGTAAGACAAAAAAAAATGTTAACTTTTATAAAAGACAAAATAAATATAAATAATATAAGTCTATAATTCTGTATTGAGAAAATCTAACATTAAAGTCTTTGAGGTGCTGACTGTTGGTCTGAAACTCTGAAGCTTTGAACCCTTCCACGGTTCCAATTTGCATTAAAAGGAGAAAGCTGTCCATTAATCCTCTGGTTTTGGATCAGGATAAAGAGTAAGCATTCCTGTGCCGAGTATTAGTAGTTACCTTTATGCGCTTGACTAAGGAGGATGTGGGGAGATGTTGGCACCCAATTTCAAGAAACAAACTAGTGCAGCTAATATCAATATTATTTATAAACCATAGTCAGTGGCCCTTTATTCACATGAAGCCGGATCAGAAGCTGCCAAATATCAGACTTTAAAACCTCCGTTTACTTTTGAATATTGATATAGAAATGCGCTAGGACAAATCACAAAAATTGCTAAATATGTGGGAAACTTCACTAGCAATGCTTGTCTTGTGAAATTCAAAAGTATTGAACATGCGAGTGAAACAAAGAAGACTGTTTCCTTCGCCTCATATCTTATCCAAAAGACCAATCACTACATCTACTAATACAATAACAATCTCAGCCTCTTTGGCTTGGCTACTTTTGTTATGGTTACAATAACAAAGGGCATTAGAGTTGACGAAGTTAACAGGATTTGGAGAAAGCATCATTTGCCATCTCCATGTTGTTCTGAAAGCTTTCAAGTTTCAAGGCCTGAGCACTTCTTTTCTCTCCTTTTTACTCTTGAATATCGTTATAGTAATGTTTTCAGCAGTTTCTCTGGCCAAAAGCTGCTGTTTGGTATATGTTGTAAAAAATTTTCATATCTATTTGTCTTTTGAACTATCGCTATCTGCAGTTTATCTTGGCTTGTATTGATAAAAACTTGTGTGTGAACAACTGTGTCAAGAGTACTCAACAATCTATAAATATCATGACCATATTCTTCTCTATCTGGCCTTGTTGAGGTTTTGTTTCGGACATCCTTCTTGTAACTGCTCTGTGTTCTCTGTCATCATTTGATTGGTTTGTTGTGCATTAGATGTTAAGATTGAGACATACAAAGTCTTCTTTATGATCTTTTCATATTGGGATACTTTAATTTAATTTCTAATTAATGATCTGCATGCACAGTGTATCCTTGCGTATGTACATGGTCTCTGCGTGTTCACGTAGTTTTGTTCTGAACTGGACATATACACATCTCTGCTGAATATTGAAGATTGTAATATATTCTGCTTAAAACTAGTGAGATGCAGAATGAGTATGACTCAGAGAAACTTTCTTTAACCTTTTTTTTTTTTTTTTCCTTTGCTCAAAGAAACCTTCTTTAACTAATGATACGAATCTTAGCTATACATCAGAGAAGCCCTTAGCAATTGAAATTGGTAAATTACTGTTTTGAAGGTTTTCACTTAATTGATGAGGTCGTATTCTCCAATTGTTCAAGCACTTGAATTGTTGCAAGTAGCCAAGGGATATTGAAAAGGAAATTTCCTAGGCTAATTTTTGCTCTATTTGGCTATAACAATTCATCATGGCAATTTAAGGCCCTAGCTAGTTCATGCAGTATTATGTTCCTTGACATACTTCCTTGTCAAAGGATCCAAACTGCTTGGACAGATCTTTTATTACATGTAAAATAGTTTAGAAGTAGTCAGTTTTTCCTGCGGAGAGCACTTTTGCCCAGTTTTTAAAGCCCGTATGTTATTTATGTTTTGCAGAAATTGAAAACCATAGTTATCACAAGCAAGGTGTAAAGGGAGCTATGCAAACCAGCCGTTCTGGACCCTCCTCTGTTTATAAGTTGTTGAGCGGCCAACCAATAGGCCTATCTTCAGCAAATGGAAACTCATCATTTACTGTTCTGCTGCCTTGTTACGAACAGTCAGAAGCACCGGCTTCGGCACCACAGGCATCCGTGTCCCAGCCCCAAGAGTTGATTCCAAACCCTGTGCCTCCTAGTTCTTATATCATATGTCATAAGAGCACTAGGTTGTGTAATGGTTTCCATTCATCAACTTCAGAAAGTTCGAACATGGAAAAGCCTGTAGGAAACTCGAGATGTTCTTCCCCACTTCCAATGTTTGATCATCTCATTCCGGCAACAAATACTCATGACTCCTCATTGCTTTTCGGAGAAGGTAAGACAACTACTTGTGACAAGGAGGACTTTGAGAACTTCATGGTCTTCCCTCATGTCCCAGCAGAAAGTTCTACCGTCATTCCTGAACATTCAGCATATCCAAAGGGCAGTTTGACTTTAAAAGAGCAGCTGCAGCTACAATATCTGACACGAGAGCTTGAGATCGAAATGAATGGGAATGGAAGTGAAAATGAAAATCCTGGCCTTGCGGTGAGCATCTATGTTACATTTCTCACATTCTTGACAAATTAATACCTGCAAAATGGCCAATGGTTTGAACATGATGCAGCACATGACTTACCACTGACTTTTCCAAATTTCTGATCAATATCATTTTTAGAATCAGGAAAGATGATTTAGAATGTCATTTAACCTGCATTGATTAGATAGCTTATAGCTAGTGGGTAATGCCCAACAATCGATGATTATGTCAAGTTGAATTTGGTATTGCATGCGTCTTATTCATGGGAATTTGTATATAGATTCAGAACTATATTGAGTTTTAACATCCATCTTGATTAGGAAACACATGAAGTGCCACGAGTTGCTACAGTCCCAGTCATTCAGTTGGAACATAACAGAAACTGTCTTTCTTCGGTTGTTAATCTTGATGGTTGCATACATTCAACGCATCAACATCCTGAGGTTGTAGCTGCAAATAAACAAAGAATAAGATGGATGCCAAAGCTCCATGAACTTTTCTTAACTGCAGTTGACAAACTTGGCGGACCTGAGAGTGAGCTAAACCATCCTTCGGCAGATGAGTAAAATCTGAATGCTTTTGATTCTTAAGCCTAACTACTACTTCTGCTGTGAATTGTGCAGGTGCCACGCCAAAGAATATTTTGAAGCTAATGAATGTTCCAGGTTTACATATCTGTCATGTTAAGAGCCATTTGCAGGTGATCATTCTAGCTTAACTTGTGGATTTGAGCTTCATGGAAGAAATTTTTGGATCTGTGGATGAATATTTTTTTCCTTGAATCTATATTGCAGAAGTATCGACTTGCGAAGAACGTATCAGAGCTTAAACATGGTATAAAATTCTATTCTATGAAGAAAATTTTATGTTTACATTAATCACGCACTCTAATTGGTATCTTGTGTTTTAAGACATAGCTTCTTGACATTTACAAGAAGCAGTTTCAGACAAGTTTATGTTTATCCAAGACAAAACAGTACTTGGTGTGCTACGTGACTCTGGTTTTGCTAAAAAAGGACATCAAACTTTTAGATTACTGAAACGAGATTACAGCAGAATACACTTTTAAAGGACCCAATTACTACAGCAGTAAACTTCCCATCCTCTTTATTGGAAAGAAAATTCCTACCTTCTCTACTGTCGACCTTTTGGATTATTCTTCAGATAGCTAGATCAGTAATTATGAAGAACCTTCAATCTCTTAGCTCTCACCATCAGCCAGAGTGTGATCAAGAATTGAGACGTAATTATTGTTTGCTGGTCACTTAAAATTCCAAAAAAGAAGTCATCCAAGCTCTGATTGCTTGCTTTTCATGCATGCATTATATTTGTAGATAAAAGAAGTTCCAGATTTGAAGAAAAGGAAACCTTAACTGAAACCCATGGTGATGGGAATATAGCCAAAGAAAGGTGAAATTCCAGTAACCTACCTTTATTCTTTGATTCAAGCTCAAACCACTAATGATTTCTCCACGGCATTATGGCAGGGACACGCAAGTACTAGAGACCTTGCGAATGCAAGTTGAAGTACAAAAGCTGTTGCATGAACAGCTTAAGGTGCGTTATTGCGCTGCTTTGTTTTGGTAGTTCTTGCTTTTTGTGTGCATTAATTGCCTTTAGGACAATTTCGTAGTATCTTTGTTCAGTACTCTCGGTTGCATATCTTCTACTGCTCTTTTGTGACCTTAGGCTCCAGTAATGTTGGCACTTGGCAGGTTTTCTAACATGACAATTGTTTTCTTCTGGATACGTATAGGTGCAAAGGGAACTTCAGTTGCAAATAGAGAAGCAAGGGCAGTTCTTGAGACAGCTTATGGAAGAACAAAAGAAAGCTGGCAGCACTTCGACCCCGGCCCAATGCTTTCCATCACCTAACAATACAACGTTAATTCATACTGAAATGCCGCTTCGGTCTTCATCTGAGGCTGCCTTCTCACAGAATGGAGCCAAGTCCATTAGGGACTGTTCTTCAATCCACTCACCGAAGCGTAAAGCCTCTGAAACTGCTGAATCAGAGCAATGTCAAAAGTGGCATAAAGGAGAAAGCAGCACAAAAACCAGCTCCCCGTGTTGAATAGGAATCAAATAATTGCCATTATACTAAAAATCTGCGATGATTGAAAGGATTGAACAGATGAACAAGATACCCGGGTTGTAGCATAAGTCCAAAACTAAAAAGGGTGAACATGATGAAAATCTTCCTGGTTTTGTGATGACAAGAAAAGCACAATAAAATATTTTGATGGTTCAAGTATATCTCTACGGAATACAATCTCTTGCAAGAATCAGAAAAAAATCATTTCACGAGAACACCAGAGAGCTCGAACAAACCTACTATGTTTCATTACGGTTTTTTCTTGCGTGACCCCTTTAGGGCAGCCTTAGTTTTTACCCACTCTTTCAATGAAGCAGAGCTTCTCATAAATGAACAAGTTTTGCCTATGCTAGTATCTCCACCAAAAGCTTTGTTTGGTTCTGAATTACATATCTTCTCAACTGTTGGGACGGAAGCATCTGTATCGCCCACAACAGTTTGCTGATTGCTTTCTGGAATACTCTGTACAGAGTCTCCTTTCTTTCCGACTCCTATAGCAGGAGAACCAGTAGGTTCACTCTTATGCAGTTTCGTTTTATTGCTATGATTTCCATCAGCGGAGTAAACCACATCCTCATAGATGGGTTTTGTGCACTCTTGCTTTGAAGTACTGCCTGGCACAATTTCTGAGATGCTGAAAGAACTGCTGTTCTCACTTACCAATTGCATCCATGAGGACTGATGGAGCCATGAAGAACCTCTTCCTGAATTACTTGAAGCCGATTTAGGTTGGTTTGGCTGAGGTTCCACATCCACTATTTCTGTTTTGCCTAACATGCCTTCCAAATTCTTAGGTGTTGCCAAATTCCCATTCCTGCTATCAAGAGTGTTGTCCACTTTACAACCATCAGAAATTTGTTGTTTTTCCTTGGTAGTATCAACATTTTGCAAAATATTAGAGAGACTGAATGCACTATTGCTTCTATCTCCAACAAGTGCCCTCCATGAAGACTTCTGAGACCACGAACAACTAGTATTTGAATGTTTGAGACCACATTCTGCTCCAGTGGTTTGAACAACAATGACAGATCCCTTTGATTGTGTTTGAACATTTCCCTTTTCATTTCTGTTAGGAAGTAAAATATCGTCTTTCTGCACTTTGTGCTCATTCTGAATTGATCCATCTTCAGAAGTTTGTATCTCACTGGATTTGAACTTCTAAATTTTATGACAGCAATATAAAGAATTAGGACCTCAATGTACACAGTTACATAATGCTGATAGAATAGAAGAAAAAAAAAAAAAATCAAATGAGAGGTTATACTTGTTTCAATGATACCTTATCAAGCTTTGTTCTCTCTGATCTTTTGTTAGCCATGGACACAATATTAATCATGAGGTTGTCTTGATCAGCTTCATTCTCCTCAAAATCTGCATTAGCATCATCAGACTCTGAATTCCTTCTCTGTCCAGGAAAAAGAGAAACAAGTTGGTGCTTATCTTCTTCTTTGTTAGGAAGTGGTTTCCTCTTCTTTCTTGGATGCAAAGTATTATTTTCCTGCACTTTGCACGCGTTCTGAATTGCTCCATAATTAGAAATTTGGGTTTCACCAAGTCTTGTTTTCTGTATTCAATCAGCAACAGAAAGAAATAAAGCGCAAGGATAATAAATATTAAGAAACCCTGAAAAACAGAGAGCTATATAATTGCACCTCAGTGGAGACTGTTTTCTTCTCCCTGCTCCCAGACATAGCTGCTCGATTATTTGAATCAGAAACAACATTAATTATGAGGTCATCATCATCTTCTTCCTCCTCATCGGACAGAGGACCCTCAATTAGTTTGGAGAAATCCTCTCTTTCATTTGCTAGGATAGCACTGCTAGTGTTGGAGATGTTTGCCCTCTCAATTAGCTTGTTCATTACTGAGCTCATCATACTAACCTCTTCCTCATTCATGGCACCATTTATTTCTTCATGATTCTGACCGTCTTTTCGTTTCACAGTGTTAAAATGACCAGAATGCTCTTCACAATCACAAAAATGCATAGGGAGAGCAGGGACTTCAACACGTTGGAAACTGTATTTATGCTTTCCAGTCCCACTGAGTGGCAATGATTTCACCTGTATAACATATAGTCATTTACTATTCGGATATGGTTTCAGCTGAAGTCGGCAATTCCAAATATATAAAACTAACTAATTCCGGTGAGCTAGTGACTCAGACAACAGATTTCAGAAAGCAATTTCCAGTACAAGGTTGAAATTTTGAGACCAGATAAAAATTTCAGAGGGCAAACAGATCGAATTACATTAATCTCAGCAGAAGGCGGCTTTAGCTAGCTGAGGAAGAGAAAAGGGTTGGAATTCAAAAGTGATAAGAAATGAAACAGAAAGCTCACCTTAGTTAATCTAGGAAAGAAAATCCGAAGATGGCCCTGTTGGGAGACGTGAGCCTTCTTGCTGCTGTTGGGTTCATCGGAAGAAGAGGGCATGGGCTGATGGTGTGCTTCTTCTTCTTCCTTCGCCCATTCCCGTTTCAAGCGGGTAAGATAGTGCTCTTTCGCCTTTTCCAGCTTCAGCTTACCTCCTTTCCACACGCACCCATTGTACGTGTTAAAAAGCTTGGAGAGGGAGTTGGAGGAAGATGGGAGGATGTCCACGTATGCGAAGCTGCGGCCTTTGGTCCTAATAATGTCCAATCCTTCAACCGTTCCCACGGCGGAGAAAACCTTCCACAGATCATCACTGCTAACGCTCTGCCCCAAGCCTCCTATATGTATTCTTGTTGATGCTGTGGCAGCCATTGCTATTTCTCCTTCTTCCCAGTTTCCCTACGCTGGACTTGGGAAAAAAAACGCCTATTGCCTGCCAAAGCGCCAGGTTAGAGTCAGAAAGGGCCTTTTATTCCACGGACGGCCTCAACCTTGTGTTTGGGCTTAGTTATTATAATTATTGATCCATCAGAGCCCACCGCACAGAACTCAACCCTCTGGGTCTTCGGCGGTTCTGCATTTTGTCCGATACAAAAGAATAAATAGGCGAAGGGCTTGAACAGAAACAAGCAGCACAGGTGTGTAGAACTAGCAAACTATTTTGGTTGCGGTTTCCTTCTTCATTCACATAACTTATAAATGCATTACAAGAAAGAGCCCTGCAGAAACTTTCAGCGTGGCAGGTACTTCTTCTTTTCTATTATTGTTATTGAGCTTACCCGTTCAATGTTTCGTACAAAGATTTGTTTTTTCTTTTCTTCAAATTACATGCTTTTCATGGCCCCTGGCGATCAAGAGGATGACCCTTACTGTAACAGACTAAGCTCTCTCTAGCAGAACATTGGGCTCAGTTTTGGAATGGTTTTATATATAGTTTGCAATCTCCTATTGCCCATAAAACTGAGTTGAAAGGGAAGAACAAACTCTATTTCAGGTCTTGAAGGATAAACTGCAGAGGGCGAATTTAGCAAACTTGATTTGAATGGTTTTCATAGGGTTAGGTTCAAATTCAGACACTATTGCTTCGATGAAGGAAGGAATAGAGCTTTTGAAATTCATAGTGCAATGTTCGATTAACTTACATAGTGTTTCCTTGGGTTTTGAGGTTGCTTAAAATTCCCAGTTTAACCATGAATTTCAGGCAAAGCTTGAAGGTGGGTTTTTGCAACCTATCAGACTAGCTAAAATAAAAACACAAAAGTTGGGTCAAATAGTGCCCAAGGGAATGAGTAATATGATAGAACTCTAAAAGGATCAGTCCCCCACCTTGTTGCCTCTCTTATAAAATTTTTGCTTAATTTCTAATTAAAATTTTGGCATCTTAAAAGACTCTCAATAAATTTCTCAATTTCATTCAACCTGCTTGGATCACATGGGTCAGGGTGACATCTCTATTGTTCTCCCATCCCTTTGAATGACTGAACCAAGATATTTTGCAGTATGAATATTTACAAAGTAATTGCTCTGTCAAACATGTCTTTTACATCTTGAATATAGTAGTTTAAACTCCTTTTTCTTCCAAGACCCTCCACTAGAATTCTCTAGTGACTCTCGGTAGTTTTTTTTTAATATAATGAACACCATGTGCAAATCTCTCTAGTTATAGTGAGATCTCTGTATAAAACCTGCCATAGAATCAGATTGTTCTTAGAAATACTAGTCTCATTGTTTAATCTTTGTCTTAGCATCCTCTACCATAATTTTATCATATGGTTCCTTAACTTGATACCTCTGTAATTGGCAAAATTTTGTATGTTTGATTTGTTCTTGTTTGGGGGTATTAAAGTGCTCATTCTCTGCTCATCTGAAATCTATTTTAGTTCTTAGAATCTTATTGAACAAGTTTGCAGGCCAAGATATTCATTCTTCTCCATTCACTTCCAGTGTTAAATAGGGATGTCATCTAGTCCAACTGTTTTTTCTACTCTTCATCTTTTCCAAAGCTTTTTTTTTTTTTGTGAACCTGCCAATAAAAAGTATAATCTTATTTAGTTATATGAATTACTAACCTCCCCAAAGTTATACAGGCGTCCAATTTGTCACTGATATTAAATAGAGTTCTCCATTTGTCCCTAATGACATTTTAGAGCAAAATGCACTTCTCAATCTCATCCTTAATGCACTTTGCTGTACTGAAGTTCCTTGTCCAATTTATCACGTTTTAGCAAGTTTTATCTCTTTTTTCTTCGCTATCCAACCGTTTATAGAAAATGGAAATCTTCTAAAGTTAAAGCTTTCACTTTTATTGTCTTCTTAGCATATTTTCTTTGCCACTGTTTGCTTTTCTAGGTTTTCCACATTTCTCTACTTATGCAAATCTCTAAAACAAGTTCTTTCAACTTGGGCTTTTTCCTATGCTTACTTTATTAACCACCAAGATTTCTTGTATGAAGGAGTGCGCACTTTACATTCTCTTGAAAATTTCCCTGGCCACTTTTGAATGTGACAAAGTGATATCATCCCATGTAACTTTGGCTTCCCCAACCATTTCCCAACTTCCTTATTCAAATAGCTTCTTCTTAAAAATCAATTATTTTCTACCTTTCAAATCCTATCATTTAATTTTTGAGCACTTTACGAATTTACTTTTGCTTTTCCATCGTTGTACATGTATGTTGAGTAAACATTAGCTTATGTTAGTGAGTCACGTTTTCTCGTGGAATGACTTTACGATCCTTAATAACTATTCAGTCTCTTTTCCTTATAAAGAATAAATTTATTTCTTTCTGTTCTTGATATCCCATTCTTATAAGTGATCACATGGTGTTCTTGCTTTTGAGAAAATGTGATTGGCTATCATGAGATCATAATCTGTAGCAAAGTCTTGGAAAGGATTTCCTCATCATTTCTTCCAACCATGACCTCCATGAATGCCCATCTACTCCATAGAGTCCTTTATGCCTATTAGATATATTCCTATTAATATCCTCTCCTATCAAAGGATTTTTTGGATCGATGCATCCAAGCTTACTTAGTCACATATATGCAACCATAAAGTCTCCTCTTTCAACACTTGCTTTATACTTATGATTTTGCGATCAATCCTTCTGATATTTGTAACATTGTCCTTCAATGTCTTACCCATGATGACACACACACCAATTTTTTGTGCAACCCTTATTTGAACACCAAATTTTGAACTCCCAAGTCTTTGAGTTTCTTTACCCTGTCTCCTTTCTACTTAGTCTCTTTAATGGGCACAACATTAATCCTCCTTCAAATGATAATCTCAACAACCTCCATTGGTTTATCTATTAATGGCCCAAAACTGTTAAGTCCCAAAGCATAACTCATTGTCTTGGACTAAGTTCATTACATGCTATTCTCCATGAAAATGTGAGAAACATTGCTCATTTTTCACTACAAACTAGTGTTATTACAACCTCTTAGTATTTGAGCAATATAGTGCATTGCTATATGGGAATTGTCCTAGGTGGCGTTTGATACTTTACAATACAATGTGATTACAGGTAATGTGATTGCAGAGAAGATAACATTGCAGTGTTTGATATATAAGTAATGTAATGATTAAAATGCAAAGAAGATAATATTACCGTATTTGTTTTACAAGTACTTTACAGGGAATGTAATGTTAATTTTCAAAACCACCCTTATATATTAAAATACAAGTTTAACATGTATTTTTTTATGGCAAATTCTGCAATAAAGTTATTATTTAATAAAAACCATTAGATTTATAAAATTAAATTACA